GTGTGTGTGTGTGTGTGTGTGTGTGTGTGTGTGTGTGTGTGTGTGTGTGTGTTGGACAAAAACTGTAAACTAAGGGGATGCCCATTAATTGGGGAATAGCTGAACAAATTATGGTATAGGAATGTAATGGAATGCTTTCATGCTATAAGAAATGTTATAAAAGATAGTTTCAGACAATCCTATGAAGACTTACCTGAAGTGATTTGGAGTGAAGTAAGCAGAACCAGTAGAACAAGTTCTAAAATAGCAACATTATAAAGACAAACAATGACTAACTACATTTTCAGAGGACTGATGATGAAACATTATGTCTATATAGATGTGATAGACTCAGGGTTATAATGGGAAATTATAGATATTAATCTCACTTGTTTATTATATTAATTGTATTCTAGGTATATTTAAAGAAGACCAAAAATGTACCTATAGACCATCAATGCAAAGTTACATCTGCAAACAGACAGACTATGCACTTCTGATACTTGACAGTATTGCTCCAGAGAGGAAAAATCCATCTCCAGTGATATCAGTGACAAATGGCTTTGTGGGAACCTTCTCTCGTGTAGCTGCCCACCCCTCCTGCTCTGCCTCTTTATCTACACCGGCTTTCTATTCCGTTTTACCAACCAACTCACTCACCAAAATTTGCTTTGTGAATTCTGTTCCCCAAGCCATGCGTTTTTATCTCATTGGGAGTGAAAGGTCATCCAAACTTCTGGCTGTGTTCTACTCTGAGCTTCAAAGCCCTCGGGTTTTCTTCCGTGGACATTTCATCCCATCCACTCCAGGTCTACCAGACTCTTGGCAAGAGAGTGGGGCTATTGGTACCAACCATTTCAGCTTCATGGATAATCTCTTGTATATCCTCCTCCAAGGGGATGAGCCTGTGGAGGTGCATTCTGCAGTTTCTATCCATGTAGCCTTCACAGTGACATTATCAATCACCCTGGAAGGTTGGGAAATAGACATTCCGCAAACATTGGCTCATTTCTTACAGATTGGCCAAGACTATATCAGAATTGTTCATGTAATGCCAGGTGGTGAATGGACCTTAAAGGCCATTGCTGATGGTGTGGCCAAAAGGAAACATCACTGCCCCACAGGGAACCTTTGTACTAGTTGTCGTAGAAGGAGTCAGCATAAAAGGCTCATGAAAAAGATGGAAACATGGGTCCCACCACCAACTTATTCAGAAACCAATTCAAAAGTGGTGGTCATTGAAATTGGTGATCTGTCAGCTATAGGAAATGCCAAAGTGGCTCCATCCTTATCCGCCAATGCATTGCAGTGTTTGGCTCACCAGATTATCACTGCTCAACAGACTGGGGAATTGCAGGAAGCCTTGGATATGCCAACTGAGGCCCTGCTGATAAGTCGATCAGCTGGAGTAGATACTTCTGGGTAAGTGTTTGCTGAAGTAAAAGCTGTTGTCATGAATTTTGGTAGCAAATTCAGTCAGGTCTTATTGGCCTCACGTTACAGATGGGGAAACTGAGGTACAGAGAAGTTAAACTAATCACCCTGAATCACACAACTGAAATATTACTCTGAAGTCAGAATGAGATTTCAGATAATTACCCAAGTTTTCATGCATGATCTTTTAATTTTTGTGTATATGTACTCTATACCTGGTTAATTATCCTCAGGTCACTTATAGCTCTCAAGAAAGATTTGATAAAATTCCATTTTAGGATTCCCTGTTTTAAAAAAGTTCAAATTAAAAGAAGACTTTGATTTAATTTTTAAATGAAATTTTATATCAAAAATTTTAAATTAAATTTTAAAAGAAAAACTTAAGAAAGGCAGTGTGGCATGCTGAATAGAGAGCCAGCATGGAATCAGGAGTACTGTGGTTGAAGTCCCACATCTGATAAATACTGGCCATGTGATGATGGCCAGATCGTAATTCCTCAGTGTCTATAAGTAACAAAGGAGGTATTGATCTATATTGGTAGAGGAAGTTTCCACAAAAGAAGTTCCCACATGCCAATGAAACCATTGGTCTGGTCCTACCCAACCACCAGCCTCACTACTGCAACACCCAATTATAAAATTATTTTGAAAAGTCAAATTATGATCAACAGCAGCAAAATCAAATAAAGAATCAAAGCAGTAAAAACTTACATAAAATCTTTAGCATTTAACAAGATAGAACCATCTGAATGAATACCAGACAAAAGAATATTTTTATTTTGTGTTCTTGTCCAGATTTTCCTCATGTTATACTACTTCTGCCCTTTCCCCACTTTCTTAAAGAAAAAAATAGCTGCAGCCAGTGTGTATACTATTTTTGTTCTGCTGATTTTCCTTTGGATCACTTTATACAGATTTTATGATTGTTTCTTTCATCGTTCTTATCATTTTTCATAGCACCATAATATTTCATTACGTTAATATAACATGATTCATTCAAAAGTTTCTCTGATTGTTGGTCACATAAATTATTTCTCATTTTAAAATTGGTCGTGCAGTAGATAGAGTGCTGAGCCTAGATTCAGGAAGACCTGAGTTCAAATATGACCTCAGATACTTCCTAGCAAATCACTTATCTCCTTTTTGACTCAGTGTTTTTCATCTATAAAATGGGGATAATGATAGCACCTACTTTCCAGGGTTCTTGTGAGGACCAAATGAGAAAATCATTGTAAAGCATTTAGCACAGAGCCTGGCACATAGTAAGTGTTATATAAATGTTAGTTATTATTAGTAGTAGTATTAGTGTCATCATCATTAGTTTATAAACTTGCTATAAATCATTTTGAATAGATAGTCCCTTTTTCCTTTTTATGACATATTTACTATAAAATCTTAAATTTTGCATTAGTGTACATTCCTACCAGGAATATACATGGAGCAAAGTCAACCCTGGTGTAGACAAACGAGTCAGCTTCCTACGGTCAACACATATAGCTTGCAAGGCTCTGCATCCACATGCAGCAAGAGCTGAGGACCCTCAAGAAAGACCCACGAAAATGAAAAACAAACAAACAAACTCCAGGGTGGTCAAAAAGACACTGCGAGGAATGGTAGCAATCATAGCAACCCTGAAACACTTAGACTGCTACAGCTCAGGCACAAAGGTCCCTGAGGTTCTTAGCATTTGGCCCTGAGATGCCATAGAAGGCTCTGAAAAAACTGAACTCTCAACCTCAAAGATCAAGAAGGGGCCTCAGTCTGGGAGGTAGGTGTTAGTGCAGGAACCCACGGGATCCAGGGTGAGACCCCGCAGGAAAGAACACGACATGGGGAAGAACCTGGCTTGACACTAAAGCCCAATTCAGCAACTAAGGCTGAAGAGATGAGTAAATCAAGATAGATGCCAGATATCATATACACTCACATACACATATACAGGTAGACACATATGTGTGTATATATGTGATATATATATATTCACATACACATATGTGCCTATAAATATATACACATGCATATATATGTGATGTAGAGACATATGCTATGGATACCTGATATATAACATGTATAATATTATATAATATATACATGTGTGTATGTAAAATCTAGATAACTTCCAAAAGAAGGAACAATTATCTCTGTAAAAATTGCCAGCAAAAACTCAAGGGAAAAGATGAATTTTTCACAAGGACTACATACTACTTAGAAGAAATGAAGCAAGAGATTAAAAAAAAAAAAGAAGCAAGAGATTAAAAAAAAAGAAGCTGCTCTGAGTAGGAGAATAAATTACTTAGAACATAAAGTGGTAAACCTTACCCAAGTAATTAGTCCTTGAAATTAGAACAGATCAAACAGAAATCAATGATTTCATGAGATAGCTACACATATGCATATATGTATAAAATATGTATATACACATGTGTATATATACTACACATGTACACATACATATGTAGTACACACATACACACTCACACATATACACACCCCCAGACACAAAATCAAAAGATTGGAAAAAATAAAAATGTAAGATATCTAACATCAGAAACAAGTGACCTGGAAAAAGGGTCAAAGAGAGATAATTTAAAAATCACAGGACTCCCTGAAAACCCTTTTGAATACAAAAAGGAAAATACTACGGGGGGGAAAGGAATAGCCTCTAGCAAAGCAAATTTTCTAATCCTGAAGGGGTGATTAAGTGTTGGGGGGAGGGGAAGTAAAAAATCTAAGAAGTCGAATGTAGGAAGGGGCCATATGTAGGTAGACATATGTGTGTATGTGTTATATATACATATATGTATGTAAAATAATTAGAATCATTCTACAAATATATGTATGTAAATATATATTATCACACACATTTTAATTAATTAATTTATTTTTAGTTTTCAACATTCACCTCCACAAATTTTTGAGTTCCCAACTTTCTCCTCCTTCCTCCCCTCTCCTTTCTCCAAGATGGCATACAATCTGATATAGCCTCTATATATACATTCCTATTAAACATATTTTCATATTAGTCATGCCATAAAGAAGAATTAGAACCAATAGGAGGAACCACAAGAAAGAAGAAACTAAACAAAATAGAAGAAAAAAAAAGAGCAAATAGTATGCTTCAATCTGCATCCAGACTCCACAATTCCCTCTCTGGATGGAGATAGCACTTTCCACCATGAGTCCCTTGGAGATGTCTTAGATCCTTGCATTGCTAAGAGCTAATTTATCAAAGTTAGTCATCACATAATGTGGCTGTAACTGTGTACAGTTCTCCTGGTTCGGCTCACTCCACTCAACATCAGTCCATACAAATCTTTTCAGGTTTTTCTGAAGTCCACCTGCTCATCATTTCTTTTTTTTTTTTTTTTTTTGGTTTTTCTTTTTTTTGGCTAGGCAGTGGGGTTAAGTGACTTGCCCAGAGTCACACAGCTAGTAAGTGTTATGTGTCTGAGGCCGGATTTGAACTCAGGTCCTCCTGAATCCAGGGCCAGTGCTCTATCCACTGTACCACCTAGCTGCCCCCTGCTCATCATTTCTTATAGCACAATAATATTTCATTACATTAGTATACCACAACTTGCTCAGCCATTCCCCAATTGATGAGCATCCCCTCAATTTCCAATTCTTTGCCACCACAATAAGAGTTGCCATAAATATTTTTGTACATGTGGGTCCTTTTCCCATTTCTATGATCTCTTTGGGATACAGTCCTAGAACTGGTATTGCTGGGTCAAAGGGTATGCACATTTTTACAGCCTTTTAGGCATAGTTTCAAATTGCAAAGCAAGAATTTATAAGAAGTTTCCATCTTTTTGTTGTTGTCTATTGTTGTTCAGTCATTTTCAGTCATATCCGACTCTTTGTGACCTCATTTGGGATTTTCTTGGCAAAGGTAGTGAAGTGGTTTGCCATTTCCTTTTCCAGCTCATTTTTCAGATGAGGATACTGAAGTAAACAGGATTAAGTGACTTGCCCAGAGTGACACAGCTATTAAGTGTCTGAGGCTAGATTTGAATTCAGGAAGATGAGTCTTCCTGACTCCAAGCCTGGCACTCTATCCACTGTACCACCCAGCTGCCCCATTCCATCTTTTACAGAAATAAAAAGGGAAAAAAATAGAGGACAATGTTTTAAAAATAGACAAACACTTTTTGTTATTTCCTAAGGGCTTAGGCTCATTTTGCAAATAAGTAAAACTACATAAAAATATCTTTCAAACCCTTGCAGTCCCAAAAAGAAAATATTATCAATCACTAAGGACTCTTAAATTTTCTCTTCATTCTTTTCAAAGATGACATACACAAATAGAAAAACTGACATACATTTGTACTACAACATACAGGTTTGCAACAGCCTGGTTATCCTTCCAGTTATTTATTTTGTATTGCAAAGTATACTTGTTTTCATGTTTTTATTGGCTCTGGAAAAGCATAATAAAAGCTCAGTGGAGAGTAATCTTTAAACACTGATTTTTCAACAATGCTGTTGTACAAATGTACAATAGAACACATCCTATTGGATTGGGAAATTTGCCTCATTTTAAAGTAAATACAACTTTTAGGTACAAATCTTTCAAAGGTCAAATTTGAAAAACTGTGAGAAAGCTACTCTATTTCAAAATTTATAAACAATAATCTGTCAATGACTTTCTCAGAAACCAAGCAAGGGAAGGGCTTTTTTTATATGGTCAGTTTCAGCCTTAAGGGAGATCTGAAATAGCAATAGATAGCATGCATTCCACAACCCCTAACAGAAGACTGTATCTTGATGTTTTGATTGTCTTCAAGGATGAAGGACAACAACCAGCAACCAACCAACAGAAGGCTGTACATTGTAAACTGAAGACACCTCCTCTGATATGGGTGTTCTCATTCAATCCATGTTCTATCAGTTTTATATCCTCCATCTTTTATGATGTTAATCAAGTGGCTAGGGCCTTCTTGTTTCAAATGCTGCTTGATTTCTCTTATACATACGTAGAGGCAGCT